TAATGACGAACCCAGCACTACCCACCTTTCACCCAACCGACCGAGGGGCGCATCTTAGGGATAATCGAAAAGTCCAACAGACCGGTGACCGAAAACCAGTATCAGTTCGGAGTGCCCTGGACCCGAAAGCGATCGCGGAAGGTCGCGGTTACTCTTGCCTGTTCCACTAAACAGCTACAGATTTATTAATCAGCTGCTATAAAATTGCATCAGGAAAAGAAGCAAAAATTTATTTAATAATTTAAAGCACTCAGTAAGCAGGTTTTGAAACAAAAAATCGAGTCACAGGAATGAATGTTAATGAAATGTGTATTAAAATCGCTACCACAAAGATCTAAAAGGGTCATGCAATTCAAAGTTTGTTCTGCATGGTTACAATGAAAGGGGCCTAAAGTGTGTAAATGATCTTAAAGAGATGGTAAAGTTAAGTTCGCTAAGTAGGAATAGGGTTACCAATTTAGTTAAAAATAAAACTCAAAGCATCTTTCTACGACTATGGAGTGTAGGCAGATTAATCACCCGTAAGCTACTTTTGTAAGAAGGTTTTTGTTCGCACCCCAGTTTCCCTATTCTTAATGCGAATAGTAGGAATTGCTTTTGTACAGATTCCAATTTATCACAATACAATTTTAATTACCATCTATTAAAAAATAAAATGTTTCGATTTTAAAAAGACAGTACAGTCGACTCTCGTTAATTCAAATCTCCGATAACACCAACCTCTCTATAATTCAAAGTTATCCCGAGCTCTTCAGAAACTCTCTTAATATTTCGAACTAAATCAATACGTTTATAGGCACTTGCTAATTCGAAGGAATAAATCATCGCTAAGAAACAAAGCGACGCGTTAATTCGAACTAATCGCCATTAAATAAATGATAAGTTTCATAATCCTCTTATGTACAAGCAATTTTCCAGTAAGTAAAGGCTGGTTTACCAATTTCAAAAAGAAATTGAGTTGTATTACGAAGTTTGTTTAGATAGAATAAATACGGGTGCGCTGTATATATAAAATCCTCTGATCTCAATGTATATACGGTACCGATTTCCGATAATATCTTGTTCTAATTCCGATAACTTCCAGTTCGAATGTGTTATACATCATACTCGTATAGCGTTCCGATCTCTCCGGTTTCCACATAAGTCGTTTGGTTGAGATATCTCAGAAGCTGGTTGGCGGACATAGCCAAATTAATAACTCGTCATTCCAACCCAAAGAGTATACATTTTTTATGGACCGCTTGGGAGCGACTTAGAATATAACATGGCAATAGAACAAAACTCATACTAGAAATTGGAGGAGGAGCCCGGAAGGAAACGACTTCAGCGGTTACAAAACGCCAATTATAATAATCTCTTCTATTTTTTTGTACTCATACACTTCGGACCAAAGTTTATGTACCATTTTATGTACATGAAAGCAATAGAAAGCCAAATTCTGTTCAAAACTTTGAGAAAATGAGAAGAGCACAAAACATAAATAAAAAATATATATGTAAGAAGAAGTGAAAAGTAAAAAATTCTTCTCAGAAACTATTCAACTGCGCCTTAAACCTAATAGTTGAGTTCCCGCCTCAAATTTGAATGTAAATATTTGTATATAAATTCGCATATACATATACATACATGGATGTATATATGACTAACTGTATTGGGCAATTATAAAAGACTAATTAGGCGTTGTATCTAAATATGTTTATTATTTTAACCTAGATAACAAATTGAGTATGAGTATATATGAGTATTGTATGGCACAAAAGTTTTCGAATATTCATATATAATATATACATACATATGTATGTAAGCTTCAGTGTATCATTCATGTGAGCGCATTCTTATATTCATCTCATCATTTGCAAGTAATTGCCATAGTAATGTTTTCTATCTATCAACAATTGGTCTTTGTTGACAAAATTGTTTCACTCTGATTTGTAAGGCTCACTTCTATAGTAGTGTTCATTTGTATACAAGCGAGATTAATTTTGTCAGCACTGTTATGAATGCACCAAATATCGTCTTCGGATTATATATGTATACTGCGTGCACTTTAAAAGAGTTTTTTGCATTAACCCTTAAGAGATATGTATACAGCGGAGACCGAATAGTCCTATCAAAATAAAAATACCTTTTCCATAACTTTTTGCTCTTTATCCACGTTGCTTGCTTCATTACACTGAAAAAATATCGTCAATTGCTGACAAACTCCCTGAATACACGAAAACATTTTTTAAATTCCGACGAAGAACCAACAGGCGCAAAACGTTCAAATGTATTTTTAACACTAAACCAAACAAACGATATGCCAAATTTAACATATTTGGATGATAAAATAATTTCATACCTTTAAATGATAATTATTTTGTGGGTGCAACCACGAACTTATAACCCATCGATGAGACATCATATTGGCCTTCCAATTACGACTTACATACATACATGTGTAATGCATATATGATTATTTTTATGGTGATGCAGACCTAACTAAAAATGCGAAACTCATGAACAAAAATATATTGTCATAACGAAGAAATAAAGCAAAATAAAATAAGATCAACTAAAACAAAATATAATAATATAATTTAATATGAAATAAAGAGAAATAAAAAAGTAAAACAATATTGATTAAAATAAAATAATATAAAATATCATAAAATAAAATTACAAACCAATTAAAATAAAATAAATTGAAATATAATAATATGAGATACAATAAAATAAATTAAAATAAGATAAAAAATATCATAATCAAATCAAATCAAATAAAATAATATAACATAATATAAAATAAAACAAGATAAAATAAAAAATTTAAATAAAATAATTTAATATAAAATAAAAGCAAAATGAAACAAATCAAAATGAAATTGAACAAATGAAATAAAAAAAAAATAAAATGAAATAAATAAACTAAGATAAAATAAGAAAATAATTAAACAATAAGAAAAAAATAAATTAAAATGAAATAAAATAATATAAAATAATATAAAAGTAAAATAAAATAAAATGAAACAAAAAAATTAAAATAAATTAAATGAAATTGAATAAATTAAAAAATAAAATAAATTAAGATCAAATAAAGTTAAATAAAATAAAAAACTGGAGTGATAAAAAAATAAGTTAAAATTTAATAAAATAATATAAAATAAAATGAAAGTAAAATAAAATAAAAGTAACGTAAAACAGATTAAATTAATATATAAAGTAACAAAAAAAAAATAAAAGTAAAATAAAATTAAACTAAATTATATTATATTAATTAAAATGAAATATAGTAAAATAAAACAAAATAAAATAATGTATGTATATATATAATTGACACTTTGTGATTAAGCGATTTTCGGATGAGCTCCTAAAATTTAAGGTTTTGGGTCTTGATGTTTTTCTAACAAATGGAGGGATCTACAAATTACACTAATCCGCCTCCGAACGGCTGATGGTTTTTCTGTGATTAGCTTTTCAAGTTCATCTCAGAAATACACTCGGATGGGTTGACATTCCTTACCGAGGCGTCACCGCAATTAGAAAATTTAACTTAATTTATTTATTTAAAATAATTTTTTATAATTTTTTGGATGTTAGTACGACACCAGAGTTTGAGCTCGATCTTGACGAATGGCAGTTCGCAATGTTAACCACTCGGCCACCGCTGCCGCCATAATTTAATAGAGTTAAATAAAATAAAGTAAATTGAATTAAAATAAAAAGAAATAAAATAAAATGAACTAAAATAAAATATGGAATTGAAATAAATTAAAATAAAATAGAATAAAAAAAACCAAATAAAAACAAAAAATATAAAAAAATTATTTAAAATAAAATAAAATAATGTAAGACAAAATTTTGGTATATTAAACTAAGTTAAATTAAATCAAATATAAAATTATATAATAAAATAAATATAACCTACAATATAATTCTAAAAAGTATATAACTCTCACAAGAGCAAAATAGATTAGAAATCAGATACAAATGATTTAGTGTGACACTGGGGCGCTTGTACAATGCGACGATTATATCGAACGCAAGTCAATGTGCGGCAGCAGTTCTACATACGTGTACAAACTTATGTAAGTGCTAGAGATGTTGAGTAGCCGTTAGCCTCAAGCGCCAGCTAAGCAACGAGATAGATGAGCGTTTATTTGTTTATATACAAAGTCTACAATGCTAGTCAAGATAATAATGTTGATGATCGTTTGGAAAGAAATTAAAAAACATAAAACAACAATAAAAAAACAATAATTGAATTTGTAGTTATAAAGCTACGAAGCTAATCTATGAAAGTGTAAGTGTGCTTTTTTATAAATTGATTGCAACAACAATTACTTTGTAGACAAGAGCATAAAGCGGATTTAATTATTTATTGTTTTCATGTTTGTAAGATTGTCTGCTTCTGATGAGCTAATAATAATTTTAAGAAACCGCTCACAGTGTATTTTACCATTTTTTAAATTTCGGCAATTATTTATATTATTTTGCACATTTTTTGTTCTTTATCTATAAAAAAAAGCTACTCGAAGCTATTTATTCAGATGTTGAAAACAAAATATTTAGAGAAATAAAATTTTGATTCCTGTGCAAGTAGCCCATGTAATTAAAATGCTTGTGTAAATTATTTATTTGATGCCGAACTTTCTTTCAATATTAAGAAAATTATGTGATATTTCATTTGATTGCTGCTGGTATATTTTCGAGTCGATTGTATCTACAGGCCGGTTTGGTTTACATCGCACCACTTTTTTTTTATAAAAACAATGGCTCTCGAATAGAAGGTGTTTTATATTGGAGCTCATATTATTTTTTAGAGATTTCTTTTCTAGGGAAAATATTATGAAATATTCGTATAATAAATATTGAATTTTCTATTTAATCGCGTTGTTTACTACGCACACCGCTTATGCTTAAGAAAGACATTATTTCAAAATCAATCATCGCTATCTTCCTCCGCCATCGCAAAAAAAAATTAATAAAAAAAAAGTGGAAATAAAAATCACTCCACTCACCTTCAACTTATGTATTTCCCTCCGTAGCTTCGCGATTTCGGCATCGCGTGCTCTTATCACATCCTTCAGCGACACGATTTCGCCTTGCATACTTTTGATTTGGACATCACGATCGTCGGTGACGTTACAACTCCTTGTCGTCATGTTGGGGCAGAAGCCACAAGTGGTTGCCATGGCGTGTGCTGATTGTGGTTTGTTAGTGCCGTTCCTTGTATTATTACTGTTATAAGTAGCTAATGGCGCTTGTCTTTCCATGCTATACACATTATATTGTGTATTACAGTTGTTTTGCTTACTGTAACTGTTCTCATCGATTGTTTGAAACTTTGTTGGTTTCTCCACCGGCACCACAGCGAGAGTGGGTGCTAATAAAAGTGCTTTAGATTTTGGTGATGATGGTGAGAGTAACTTTGGTGTTGCTGATGTTGTTGACGTTGTATTATTAGTGTTGTTGGCATTTAAATTAGTGCCGCTGCCAGTAATGCCGCCATTGGCACGCAATATCATCGATGTTTTACGAATCTATGAATGGTTGAGCATTTCAACGGTTCAACGAAGGAGATAAAATGAAGAAACCAAATAATAAATATTTAGTAATGGAGGTGATATTACTTTTTATTGTCGTTTGGGAAGAGGAATGGGTTATAACTTAATAGGGGGTTGGGTTTTAATCAATAGTGAGTGGATAAAAAAATTATTCAAAACTATGGAAAATCAATAATCCATTATACTTTATTTTGTATTATTTATATTAGTTGCCTGCATAAATTTAAAAAAAAATTAAAGTTTTTCAAATTTTTTTGAATGTTAAAATTTTGAATTTTTCTTGGGCTAGTATTTTTTAATAATGTTCGTTTTTGTGTTTGGGAACTGGGTTTATTTTAATACTTCAATACTAATTTTTTTATTTTAATCTTTCAGTGTTTATTTTTTCTTGATTCACCGTTGCTTACAAATTACCCAGAACTTTTGATGATTGAGGCTTTCTGAAAATATCCAATTAAAAAAGTAACTGAATACTCCTTTATAAAATTTTTTTTATGTTATTTTTCAACGATAGTCATGATTTCGACAAAGCTTTGGTTTGAAAGGACCCTACCAACACCAAGAATTAAATATTTTTAGAAATTAATCTTTTATATTTATTTCCTAGATTTTTGTGCTTTTGGAATTTTGGTACTGTTTCCGATTATTGGTGTCACACCAGAACTCTTGGTTCAAAAGCATTTCCGTAGCTGAATTTTGAATTTTCGCCGTAGCCAAAACTGGTTGCTCTTTCTCGAATTTTATTATTTCTGTTTCGTTTGTCTGCTACTCTGGTTTCGGTTAATTGGCTTTTGCATTTTCTTGAATTTTCTTGCCTTTATTTTTACCAAAATTGATTTTTAAACAAAATTTTTGTTGTTGCTGTTGTAACTATAAATTTATATTATTTCCCAAACTGGTTTACGGTGACAGTCCTTGGCCGAATCAAAATTGGGATGGCTCCGGAGTAAAGACCCTACGGTCGCGGTAACTATTGGATTTCAATTGTCTCTTAGAACAGGAAACCCTCAGGGATACCAATAATCAATTACTTGTAATGTGATTACGGCTGTGATTATGGCTACAGCAGTGGTTTAATTGTATGTCACCTTTAATTTAACCCATAGTTCTAAATATAACATTTTTTTTTAAATTTTTTTCGAATTATTTTTTCACTTGCATTTGTTTTTGTTTTTCGTTTTTGTGATATAGAACTTCCAAAATTAATTTAAAAATAATTCGCTCGAGTTTTTGTGAGAATAAGTTTTTGATAAATTCTATTATTCTGCTGGTATTTGTTAAAATTAGCGTTTCGTTAGCTTACCTGTTCATGCACATTGGCATCCTGCAATATCTTTGAAGTCTTCCTTATCAATTGCGTCGCTGTGTTGATCGGTCCAAGAATACCGCTCTCCGCGAAATACTTCTGCGCCGCATCGAAACTGGCGTCGTCAACAACAACAGGCTTTGCCTTACTTGGACTAAAGGGTTTCTCGACCGTTTGATTGCTGTTTTCCTTGCTAAAATCTTGCAAACTCAGGTCCTTCGCACTATCCGCCTGCTGTGCTTCAAAATTTTTTTCCGACTCCGAAGTCGAACCGCCCGAATCGATTTCGTGGGAACGTTGTAAGAGGCGACGCCGTTGCTGCGCGGAGCGTGGGGTATTTTGCGGCGATTGTATTTGGCTGCGTGCTAACGTAATAGGAGAATGTTTTGGCGAAATTTTCACTAAAATGTCAGGATGCACCGCGACATCTAACACTTGATATTGCCCGATGTTCGGTGAGGATGAACGTTTCGGTTGTTTGAATTCTAATTTACCATCACGCGTTTTTATAACCGGTTCCTGTTGGTGCTGCACATGGATCTGTATGAGCGACTCACGTGACGGTTTTTTATTCTCGTCGGTAAAGACGTAATCTGTGTCAGGATGTGAATAGGACTGAAAGAACCGTTTCGCTTTACGTTCGTTTTTACGCGTTGCTGTGGGTGAGATCGCACCACTCACTGCGGTTATTGTTGAATTAGCGGCGTCTGCTTTTGCGGCACTACCCGGCACTTGTAAAGTTTTCGCAGTAGCGTTGCGCGCTGGTTGTGCAAATGCGTGCTCGTTTTCTGTAACTCTTGCGAGTCGAAAGCTAACTGGACTGTGCTTGCGATGCGGTAGTGTAGCTGACTGCACAATGCCGCCTCCACTAGCGCTAACACCGCTATCGAGACTATTTGAACGCCCCTCGCCGTCGCATCGCGCACCACCGCACCAATCGAAGCTCACGTTCATGCTCTCGTCACGCGACAACTGAGCCGACGTCGCATTCGATGTTTGCGTGGAGAGTGAGTAAAATCCACTCGATGTGTGTTGTGTGGAGGCACTTTGACTGGAGAGGTCTGTATTGGTGGGAGATAGCGAGAAATTAAACATGCAAGGCGCTGCCGCATAACTGGCGCGTTGCGTTTGGAGTTGTTTTGCTGTAGTAGCACCGCCAAAGCCACCGGCTTGTGCCGGCACTGTGACCGCTGGTGGACTACTACAATTACAATTGGCAAAGAGGCTGCCACATGTATGACTTTTGCGAAATTTCAAACGCAGATTAGCTGCTCGGGGTATGTTATTTATGTTATTTTTACTACTTGCGCTATCAGCAGCAGCAGGACCCACGCCATAACTGCGAAGACTAGTGGAAAGTAGTGGTGAAACGCGTCCATAATGCGGTGGCGTCTCAACTTCAAGTAGCGACGGACTCGTATCCTCTTCCTGGCTTCGCGAGATACCAAAGCGTACGCCGGGTTTGGTTGCGCTCACTTCGGTTTGACTCCCGGCGATCATTTCTGTAGAGTTTGTCGGTTGATTATCTTTACCTTTTAAAGATAGCTCGTGTTGTTGTTGCTGCGGCTCGCTACTGGCTGTGTGCATGATCGTTTGAAAGTTGTGGTATATGGCTTTGCCTGCGGATGCGCTTAAAAGTCTTTAGTAAATTGGAAAATGAAGTAACTGGGCTGCATTGAACGTGAGATGCGCTTGGCGTAAACTGTTGTTAAAAACTAGAGTGACAAGCTGCATTGATCTTAATGTTTTAAAATAGTATTATTCTTTTATTTTTTTAATGATAAGATATTAGTTGGGCAAGACCTGCAAATGAAAAGGAAATAATTATTAGGTCTTGAAAGTTAATAATTTAAGTTTGTATGTTTTCTTGTAGTTTGTGTCAGTATAGCTTTCCGATAAATATAATAATGATATAAATTAAATTTGACTAAATTTTCTATATAATATGCCAATAAATTGAAATTCATTTAGGCTTATGAATTTTATTACGATGATGTTTTTATTAAAAAAATAGCTTAGATAAGGGTTGAAGAAGTTGGAACTCTTTATTAGGAGAGTTCAAGACTGCATCGTAATCAAAAAATTTCAATCGTTTCGGTTGAGACATTTGGAACTGTTATAGTTTTCAAACTAAATTTTTTTTCGTTTCTACCCGAAATGAGAAGTTGTCGTTAATGTTAAATCTTTACTTGATAATGTTAAACATTAAAATTGAAGTGTGACATTAAATCATAGCATGCACTCATTTCAAAATTATCATTAACGATGAGTTTGTGCGGTTTCAACATTAACAATTTCATTTCTTTTCGATAACATGGAGCCGAAACGAAGCAAAATAATTTCGAAAAGTTCTATTTTTATATAAACAAAACGAACTTCATCGTTTCGTTAATTGAGCATCACTGGGAGAGTTGCCAGCTTTGCGAAACACTTAACCGCATTTGAATTTCAGTTTTTCCAACTGGTTTCAACGAAAAAATCATATTCCTCTCTGAGAGTACTAATTTGTTTTTATATTTTAGGAGTAATATGAAAATGTTTAAAAAAAAATTATAAAATATATATAACAGTAATATGAATTCCACTTTTCAAAATTTCATGTTTATGAATAAATCCCATAAAACTATTAACCTATTTTTAGGTAGATATATTTCAAAATTTTTGTTGTCTTCTTCCTTAAAATCCTTAAAAAAAATTAAGAATAATAAAAATTATTTACAAGTAGGAGATTGGTCCGTTGTTTGTTTGTTAGTTACTATTTGTCGCTTCAACCATAGCAAGCCAATCAAATGGCGAATAAGCGATGCAAATGAACTTGTGGGCATATCTCCTGTCGTCAAACCAAGTCTGCACAGTTACGGTCAACTTCATGTTAAGCAAAAAATATAGATCGCTTCGGTTGAAACAATTATCGTGTACTGTTAAATCTTCTTCTGGGTTCGAAGGCAGCGGCAGCGGCAGAGGGTTGGAAGAACGAGAATTCTAAGCAATACAACAAGAAAGTCCTTTAAATGAAATAGATATCTACCAGGGAAGAGCAGCCGATAACATCAAATACACAATATGTGATACAATATTGTGTAAATTCTGCAATCGGATTCTTCCGTGGCAAAATAATACAACATTTATTTGCGATTTTAATTTTCAAATGAATTAAAACTTAATTCTAAAACAAATTAATTAAAAGATTTTTATTAAGCTGGTTTCCGACACGTTTTTCCGCCTCAAAGTTGGGGTTATATCTACCATTCCAGAAATATTTAACCATTAAAGATCAAATCCTTCAAGCCGCTCATCATTCCCGTTCCATTTATGGTGCGGATGCTTGGTTGATGTCGACATCCAGAGTTACTAGGAGTTTTCGAGAGAAAGGCTTTGTGGAAGAATTGTAGTCCCTGCACATTGACAACGGTGAATGACACATACAATAGAACTCTCGTTCTGTACGAGTTATGTGGTGTCATTCACATAGCTCGGCAAAGAATGTACAATATCGCGAAAAAGAAACGAAAGAAGGACTTGAACCCGCGCAGCTTGGAAAAAAATCAATCGATGCAAATCATTGCTCCACTGATCACTTTGAAGTTTCGTTGGATTAGTTGGTACTCATTTAGATCGCTGACAACAGTATTGACAAAATCTCAAGTATTATTCTAAAGATTGTCTCGACATATCAACTATGAGAAAAAGTACAATTGTAATTTCAGTCAATTCATAGTGAAAGCTATAGAATTTTTATTAAAATAAATATATTTGCAGCCTATTTGTTATCATTGAGTTTTTGAAATACACTTCAATATATTAAATGATTGAAAATATTAATTTCTAGATAATTTACTTATTTTTTTAATTTAAAATCTTTTTTATTCTATATTTTTTATTTTATAATCAATTTCCTCTTTGCACACTAGAAATTACCAAAGCAAAGGTATGCAATAAATTCAAAAAATAATTGAATACGATTCTCTGATTTCAGCAGAAAACCCATTGCGATCTCTGCTAACCTTATCAGTGGCTGTTATATAAAGTGTGGTGAATACCTTTCCCAAAGTTCTTCAGAGATTGTTTGAGGCAGGTTCGATGTTGCAACGAATTTGCACCTTCTTGCTATTATAAGTTCTCTGGTCCGGCTTATATAGAATGGACTGGTTTCATTTGGTATTTTCAATTGGCTCAGAAAAGATATGAAATAAATGCCGTTCTTTTGACTCGGTTATAATTGCGTTAATGAAGAAGAAGAATTTATCGAAAAAGGCGTTCAAAGATTGAATGCCTTGAGCTTTAATTTTAAGTACTCTCAAGTACACATTTGTATGAGAATCGACGTAAATATTTTCACACTGAATTTATGAATATAACGAAAAGTTCAATAAATATTATTAGAAGCTAATCTCATCGAATCGCCTGAGAAAGTATGTTGTTATATACAGATATGTATATGTATTCGATTTATACAACATTGTAAATACATATGAACAGATCTCAGCAGAGAGTACATACCAAAAATTATCTCCTCAATCCAGCCATCACTCATTCAAATATTTCTCGTATATATTGACATAATTTTTATCGAATTTTGCAATTAGCATTCCAGCGTAAATATTCAGCAAAGCTAAAGCAACTCAATTATATACATATATACATACATGTAGTATATAAACAATATTGTACATATCAGTTCAATTCAATTGCCATAGGATTTGTGTAACCATAAATACAAGTCAAACATTTCTGGAAGTATCTTACTAGTTTATTATTGTGAAAAATATACATTCATTTATACATAAATACGCTTAAATTGTATGATATGCAAAAGATTATGGAAGGAAAAACTAGAAAAAGATAAATAAATAAAGAAATGTAAGTAAAATAAAGTGTGAAAAAATGTGCAAAACACAAAAAGAGAAAACAAGGGGCAAATACACAAGAACACATACAAACATGCATTCATACAAAAAAGTGTACATTAAAATTTTTACTCGTACTTTAGTCTGTCAGTAATTATTGCTTTAATGATGCGATTTCTCAAAAGATATTGAATTTTCAAGGTCAATAGATTTTTTTAATTTTTTTATATTTTTTATTTTTAAGTTTTTTTTTGGCAATAAAGAAAAGCCGAAAATTTGTTTTACAATAAATACTTCAATATCATTCGAATCTGTATAGAGCAAATTTCAATGCCAAAATGTCAAGAGCGAATTAAATTTGTGCTTGAGTGGAGAAGTTTTTTTTTTTTATAAAACTTGGGGATAAAGAGCTAAGATGATACGCCGACCTACAGAAGGTTTCAAGGCTGGATGCTTTTTTAGGCTACATAGAAGCGTATCGTGTGAAACACTAAAGTCAAGTATCAACAAACGGATTGGGCCTTATCAGAGTGGCTTTAGACCTTTTAAGGCAACCATCGACCAGATATTCGGCATGCCCCAAATCTAGCAGAGGACCCGTGAAAGGTGATCGGCAACCAACACCTCTTCGTCGATTTAAAAGCCGCCGTAGACAACGCGAATAAAAGCTTTAAGGGGTTACATAGATCTTGATGGCCAAAAAAGCTTATTTTCTCTATTTATTTGTAAAAGATACTAAATAAACCATACAACTTACTTTGATTACATATATAAAGTACGATATGTGGACGACATTTGATGAATATTTGAATGAAAAATAGTATAAGTTAAGACGTTGGCAGTGTCGTGAAGTAGACCGTCCACAAAAAAGTGCTTTCGCGGTAGTCATTATAAGTTTTTCAATTTTAATCTAAAATCAAAAGTCCAAAAAAAATATAAAGCAGGCCAATTTTCCTGGTCTCTGAACGAAAAAAAATTAAAAAAAAAATTAAAAGTTTAATTTTTTGTTATGTTTTTTTAGAAAAAATGTAATTTTTTGCATAAAATTAGGCTTGTAAAATGAGTCGAAATCAAAGAAAATTTGAACTCGATCGCTTCAATAGTCGTTGAGAAATTTTTACTACCGATTTCGATAAAGTGATTTTAAGAGAAACTCGTTTAAAGTTTCCAATATTGCAATAGTATTTGAAAAACCACAAATGAAAAAATTCTGTTTTTAGAAGAAAAAGTTTTTCATATACATATACACTATAATTTTAAGAATTGCATAGTTGGAATTTTTTAACATCATCAACTGATCATTAACTTCTCAAACTATGTAATCAACAATCTGGCCAACATGGAGTTAATTGATAAAAATTTGGAGAAAACAAGGTAGATTTATACCTTTCTTAATAGGTTACATCTAGTAAGGAGCTTTAAAAATTTATATTTTCCAAACTTTTAGCTTTATTGTTTTGAGCATTTGTACAGATATTAAGGCACCTTTGGGGAGTAGTTAACAATTTTTTTATTTATGAAAATAACAGTTTTTGAAGCTGCTATAGCAGATCTCCAGGGACCCCTTCCAAAAAAGGTGTTTTGCGGGGAGCACTTTCTTTCTAAAGTGAATCAGCTGAAATCGAAAAATTAAACGGATTTCAGTAAAGTAATTCATAATTTTATGATTAAATTAAGGCATAAGTCAAAAACTTTATTTGACAAAATGGCTTCTTAAAAAAAAAATTAATATTTCTTAATAATTTTGGTTTTGAATAGCGTATTAAAAAAAATTTTAATCGGTAATGTACTACCGTTCCCGAGAAACCTTGATCATGGATTTGAAAAACATAGTTTTGAGAACAGTGAGGTTAAAGTTTCAAAAGCACTGGCTTACCGCTTTCAAATGCTCTGACGCGTTGTTACAGATATGCCTGCAACTTCCAAAATAACAGTCAGAACGTTTTGGAATTTTTA